ATGACCACCACCGCATCAACTCCGAGTGTCAAGGACGAACCGTGTATTATACTGACTGAAACTCAGAAAGATAGCCTTTAATGTTTAATGACCTAACCATCGATCGATGACAAACACCTGCTGTCATGCCCTTCGGAATCTATACTTCTTGATGTAGGGCAATCGTTAATATCTATACAATGCTTCTTTGAATGAATTCAATATTTTTTATAACAAGCTCGCTGTCATCGATTGAATTACCTTGTGCGCAGCAAGTGTTATACATCATATGAATTAAATATTGTTCCACAGTGAATATTAGTTCTGTTTAACTCCCTTTTTTTGCTTCATTGTCTACAGAAATATTACTAATCGTTAGTAATTGTCCTAGAATGCTATATAGAATTTCAATACTTCCTGGTAATTTCAATTATTTAATTTCTAAGATTTATATTTCTATAATTGCCGAAAGTGATCTAATTAGAGATAATGCTCTGAGGTTGTTGTTGCCTAAAGGCATATTTACCTTTTATATTACATATTATATTTTAATATAATAGGTAAATATTTAACATTATATATGCCCTACATGTTACTATTTTGATCTTTGGTTGGTTCTGCTCATAGAATGAGACGGTATCGTATCGTGATTTTAGTAGAACTGGCGGTAGTCTTAAATTCTTTATTTTTAGTATTCCATCACTATAATGCTCCGCTTTCAATTACAGACTGTCAGTCGAATGTTCGTTCGATATAAGTCAATGTGTTGATTAACACGCAGATCATTAGTCGACTGGTTAAACTTTTATTACTTTTAAATAGGACGAACTAGAACTACATTTATTTGATAACTATCAAAGTTCTAAAAGTTCTTCTATTGTTTTAAATATATCAAAACAATCGATGATTTTTCGGTTTACTCCCTTCAATAGAAATGCTTAGGTACCAGTAACCGAGAAACCAGGTCTACCACAGGAAGAAAAGCCCTAGTACCCCGACGGACCCAGATATCACGACATAGTTTTTGTATGAGAATGTATTATATAAACAAAACACATAATTGATTTCTGGGGAGGGACATGCTGAGGCAATGCTTTTATTATACGTATATTATTAAGCTATAATTACATTATAATGTATAATGTACCTGAAACAATTTTGTACGAAACCGTTGTCTCCATCCGGTGTTCACAATGATCCACTAATTCCACTGTACCCAATTGACCAACTATAAGATGGACCTGCAACATCTTTGATCTCCCAACACTTGTTAACACTTGCCGTATAATGATACTGCGAACCCCTGTAAGCAAGTAAAAACCGGTCAGGTACGAGTCGAACTCGTGCGCCAAGGGTTCCGTGCCTCTCCAGATTTTATAAATTAGGTAAATTTTAGTACTTACAAGTTTTCGCGAAAATCGAAATTTGCCCATATCTTTTTATCATGTTGACTCAGGGCCTTATTTTTTATACACCTAATAGGGACCATATAGCTCAGTATCTGGTATAAATTTCAACTTGCTAGGTCTACCCGTTCCTGAGAAAATAGGTGGTGACACACGGACAGATGGACAAGAAAGTGATCTTGTAAGGGTTCCTTTTTTAGCTTTTGAGGTACGGAACCCTAAAAATTACATGAGAATTAATAAAATGATTAAAAGTATCAAGATAAGAGTGAATAATTCGATGCGCTTTAAAATTGAAAATTGCGTAAAAGCTTTTTTTTTAAATACTAGTATTTGACACTTGCGATCTAAATAGGTTTTGTTGCGTCATTAACTTCCTACAGATATATAGATACTGTGTACCTGTAGGTTTACATATTTTTTTATTAAAATAACCGAAATGCTTTAAGCATAAACTGCTTTAAGAAATAAAGTACAAAATTTATAAAGCTCGGTGGTGCACATTGCCTCGGTGGTGCAGTGGTAACGTATGCGACTGCTGTGCTGAAGTCTCGGGTTCGATTTCCGGGTTGGACCAAATATTTGTATGATCTGCAAAAATTTGTTTCGAAGTTTTGGTATTTTCTGTGTTTACAAAAACAAATGGATACATGTGTGAAGTTATTATTATTATAAGATTAGCACTTCATGACAATAACAAACGGGGTATAACGTGTCTTAATGCTAAAAATATAAACTCAAATGTGTATACGAGTATATCCGTCACTTTCAACAACTTTTCACGGTCTATAGTGTTATTATAAGGTTGTCTAATTTTGATCTAAATATTCACATAGCTATATTAAAGTAACATTTAAAAAGGCAACATTGTATGGTACTTATCGTAAGAAATAAGCTAGAAATTATTTACACTAACTTAATACATGTTTTTATTCATGTTACAAAATGTGAAAGTCAACTTTTCGTAATTTTGTAATTAATTCGTTTGGTATTTTCGTAATTAATTCCACCTAACACAAAATGTTAAACCACTTTCATTGTGAATGGAATGTTTTAAATCGATTGTAGTTCTCAGTACAAGATGTGGTCCTTTTTTTCTTTTTAGGGTTCCGTAGGCAAAATGGCAGAAATATGTAGACAAAGTGGTGAAAACAAATCTTGAAAAAGATTTTAGCTACCCTTTAAAGTAGGAATGTTATTTCTTAAATTCATCCATCTTTTAATATGGGGTATCATTGGAAGACAATATTTTGATTCAAGTTTCCGTTTGTAAGATATTAAGCTTTAAAGCGCTGATTTTTGTTACAGGCAAGTGTCCCTGCCCTCCAAAAAAATCAGTAAACTAATTCGACGTTATAGGCCGCCGAAACCGTTAATGTGAAATGTTCGTAATATGAAATAACAAAACCACCTTGCCTTATTTATATTTTAGTTATGTTTTAACTCGCATTATTGCAATAGATAACTACGGAACCCTAAATTGGGCATAGCTCGACACGAATTTGGCGGGTTTTTCTAGTTATCGGAACCACATGGAACTTTAAGAACTTAATTACAAATTCGGTAGTCAGTAATGGAGTCGATATCAGCTCTTTTTAGTGCCTTTTTGATCGATTTAACTGCACGAATAGCGTATTGGTTTAACATAACTTCACGACTATCGTTATTGACAGTAGAGCCCTTGCTCGAAACCAATTTCACAGGAGAACGCGGTAACCTAAAATAGGCGAACCTTCGAAAAATAATTCACTCATTCCAATACTATATATTAAACCACTTACTAACTTAAATAAATTGACCAGAGATGATTAGGATCTTCACATCACCCACATCTGGTCATTCTGCTTTCCTAGTGTGTATCCATAAATGATACTAGTGGTACACCCACATCTGGTCATTCTGCCTTCCTAGTGTGTGTCCATAAATGATACCAGTTGTTGAAAATTTTCTTTAAATTCGGTAAAATTTATTCCTAAAATTATTCCTAGACGAAGCTGTCACGCACACTAATTTAAATATTCAAAACTCAGCTTATTTCTTTGTGTTCTTTTGCGGCAAGATGCTCTATATAGACATAAATAATCTAAGAAAATACCTATAGAAACGTTATATCTTTAATTTAAAGTCTTATTTATATGGGCCGTATTTTTGGAACGAAGTTTCTTATCACGTGTTACACGCTCTGAGCGGATGGGTGCGGGACCGAAAAATGTGTAGCAAGACTTTCTTCCAACACTTCTTGCGAAACTTCGTTCCAAGTGGGGTCCATAGACTGTTTTTTTTTCCTGTGCGGATATCCCTTAGGATGCCACCCACCGGTCGGATAGTTATGTCGGACTCGAACCGACCAAAAACAGCACGCCTTCTCAGGTACCAGTTGCCAGGGAACCAGGCGTACCCTAGAAAGGAAATCCCTGGTACCCCGACGTACCTCGAGCCATCTACGGCGTGTAGATGACCCTATGTCGACTTTGTGCTCCGGAAAAGGCCTGTCTACGGTGCCTGGCCCATTTCCGGACCTGGCGGGCCGGGATAGTTCTAAACCTCTCCCGGTCCCGCTCCGCCATCTCATTCGCAAGCATAACTTGCTCGCAGAAGGAGACGGCGACATACTCTCGCTCTGTACCTTGGTGGCGATCATGTTACCGAGCGAGAGAGTTCCCATTCCGATAGCCGCCACGAGGCCGGGCATTCTGACAGCGTGTGGAGCGCCGTGTCCACGGTCCGGCCATCGTAGTGGTGGCACTCAGACGTTGGCTCCTTGCGGATCAGACATAGGTGATCTCCGAAGCATCCTTTCAAGGTGATCACCTGCGTTGACCGGTATCAGAGGGTTCCGTGATGCCTCTCGAGTCAATTCTCCATAACGAGTCGTTTTTGCCACTCCTCCACAAGAACCTGGCGGAGTTGGGCTTTCTGGTATTTGATTTCTCGAGTTCCAGGACTCCGACCTAACTCCCGCGCCTCCTTGCGCCACTGATACAGAGCCGCAAGGGCTCTCGCCTCCAGGTCCCACGGTGGAGTGCCGGCCAGAAGACTTGCTGCTCAAATGAGATTGTGCCGTACCGCCTTATGATCCTGATGGCCAGCATTCGCTATGGTCCTCCAAATAGCGCGACGTTGCTGGCCTTCAGCCCCCCCCCCCCCTATACTCGGGCCCCATAAAGGACCATGGACCCCTCAACCCCCGAGTCTCCTGCAGGAGTCATCAGGTTCCTTCATGTTGATCAACAGCCGCGCTAATGCATGCGCTGTTCGAATCACCTAGGGAAGTCTGAAGTCCCATGGGCCATCGAGTACGAGCCCCAGATACCTCATCGAGGGCACGATGCCGCTACGAGTGCCTCCTGCTATAAGATTGGATCCCTCAGGTGGCTTCCTCCGAGGCCCATAAAAGAACAAGGCCTCGAATTTGTGGAGAGAGACCTCGCATTCCAGAGTTAGGGGGAGGGATGAGACTTATTAGGTGAAAAGAAACGAAAGAAGTAGCTCTCCCACGACATATCCTTACTAAATGTAAGTAATGGATGTGTAGGTAGCTGTCTATACGATGTCTTTTATTCCTAATTTACAGGTACCCACGATAAACTTAAGTTCGTTTCTTCTAATCCTCAGGTTTGGTGATCAAGCGTCACAACATTAGAATATGGTGCCATGACTGTGATATGGTGCGACTGCAGCGCGTTGTTTGGGAGGGCCACGGCTCAAGGCTTCTCAGTGAAGTGTCTAACCAGCATGTCGTCAAACGTTTTCTGGAAGCTGTGCCTTACATTATGGTTAGTATTTTTGTTCCATTACGTAATAGGATAATATCGACTATTTATTTACCACAGAATACTTTCGAATATCAGCAATTTAAATAGTTTCGGCAGTCACAGAATACGTAGTTTTAATATTGACTTCGTAATTTAATTCGCTATTAAAAAGCGTATTCTCCAAATATTCGCCAAATAGCCCCCCTTTGACGCCTATATAATTTAATCTAAGCCACTATCGTATAATTTAAAAAAATATCGAATTTCAAAAGGCAGCAAAACACCTTATATAATATGTGAAAGTATGTCCATATTCAGTCAATTCATTGCATATTCAAACTCTCTATACGAAATAACTTATAGCTGGTTAGTTTATTAATGTTAGTTGTTTATAACGCTGCTTTATTCGTTTTTTTTTATATTAACATTCTTTATTTCTTTTTTACAGAACACCATCCGCGATATCCACAATGACGTCATACAGAACGATCTGGAAAGTTTGATGAAGCATGCTGGTGACCCTGTACCGCCTCAAGCTTTGTCCAGCAGAGATCCTAACTTTATGACCGTTTTACACAAGGTATTCACGTAGTTGCATAGAAATAAAGTTAAATTATAGTAACAAGAAAAAGAAATTGTAACATTAATATGCTATCTGTATAATTATAATATGGGAATAAATTCAAACACCGAACACGCGGTCATCTGCTCTCAACCTAGGCATAGCTCATACTATAGTAGTATACTAAATGCATGTTAATTGATACATGATGGATGCTACACCCATATGTAGAACAAATGATCATGTACATGCCATAAATATTTTCCCTGGATGGTAATCGAACCCACCTCTGACTCAGCAGTCAGTATTAATAATCATTAGAACAAAAGGTCTATCAAAGTGAGTTTAGTATCCTAATTGGAACCGGGAACAAGGATTCGAAATAAATAAATAAAAAATAACTAATTGTCTTGGAAATCGATTGTTTCAGTAATCGATAACTTCATGTACTTCAACAGGCTGCTGGTCTCGGGCATGGTGGTATTCTCAAGTACATCGTTGAAAGGTATCCTCAAGGTATAAATGACGTAGACAATGATGGGCGTACACCTCTTCACTATGCTGCATCCGTGAGAGATGAACAACATACATACAACACATTAGTCAGTCTGGGAGCTGATGAAAGCGTTGTTGATAACGTAAGTCTTACTCTAGCACATGAAACTACTTTTAATTCAGTATCACACTGCATGGTCTATTTAATTTTTAATAAGATCACTATATAATTGGGTTTCAATATAAAATATCAATAATATATCTTAAAAACTTAACAAGATGGTGTAGATTAAACAAATAACTTTTGATTATAGAAAAACAGAACACCAGGTTATTACGTAAATAGACCACAAGACGTAGACAAGAACAATTTTAAGATATTACCTGATGCGCCTAGAACTCCATCAAGTGCATACCCAAGTTCTTGGGATTGGAAGCTATTGGACACTGAAGTCATAGCTGAATTGAATAAAAAGTCTAGGCGGAGGCACTTAAAAGCTTCAAATGAAAATATATCTTCAAAAGATACAAATACTGTCTCCGATACCACTGACAACCAAACCGGTGGAATGAAAGGCAGCAGCACGCATGAACATATTAATAGTTTGCCTGAATTAGATGATGCGAAACAGACAAAAGACGATATTGAAAATCGCATTGCAAACGTAGAAAGTAATAAGGTGAGCATTGCATGTCATCTTGTCACGGAATGTTTTTACTGTTAAGTTGCGTTGCTTTTCTATAAACATTTGCATGAACATTTATTTTGTGAATTTTAGGAATCAGAAGTCGACGAAAATAATGAAGATCAAAACAATTTACATTTGTTACAAAATAATGAGGAAGAACAAGAGGCAGAATCCAGTAATGTAAATGCAGAGGAGCCCAACAACGATGTCGAAGAAGTTACTGCTGACACAGAAAATAATACTGAAAGAAAAGAAGACACAAAGAATATAAAGAAAGAAAACAACGAAATCGAAGAAGAAGACAAAGAGAAAGAAGAAAAGGGCAATGAAAAAGAAGAAACTAATGAGAAAGAAGAAGCCAACGAAGACGAAAAAGAAGAAGCTAATGAAGAAGAAGAAGAAGCCAATGAAAAAAAAGACGGTGACGAAAAAGAAGAAAAAAATGAAGAACACAACAAAATGGAAGAAGAAAAAGACACCAAAAAAGAAGAAGAAGAAGACAATAAAGAAGAAGAAGACAGCAAAGAAGGGGAAGACAACAAAGAAGGAGACAAAAGTAATGAAGTAGACGACAGTAAGGAAGAAAAAGACAACAAAAAGGATGAAGAAATTGTTGGTGAGTTGCTTAAAGATCATATACACACTGACACAAACACTAACGAAATCGTAGATAGATTACAACAGGAACTGGAACAAGCTGAAGTTAAATCCAAAAATGAAAATGAACATGAAAAAGACTATGATGAGCGTGAGTCTATAATAGGTCAGACTCGTGATACCACAGAAGAACAACTTTCTAGAAATATAAATATGAATTACGCTGAAGGTAATGACAAGGCTAATGAAGAGACTGCTAACGTTATTAATTTTATAGCGGAAAATGAAGAAACAAGGCATATTAAAGACAATTCAAATCGTGATAATGAGGGCATAACAGTAGAACACAATAGTCTTAGTGACGATCACCCTGAGCATGAGGAACATGATTTAAGTGATACTGAGACTAAAGATAACAAGTCTCATGCAAGTATAGAAAACAAAAGTGATAAAGTTGCCGAGGATGATGCTACTACAAACGAAGGTAATAATAATGGTGAGCATAACGAAGATGATGACGATGTTCAAGTACAAGGAGAAACAAATTCTGAATATAGTGATTCGAACCTTAAAAGTACAGCGGAACTGTTTGACTTGGAAAGTGCCAAGAGAGGTAAAGCCGAAATCTCTTCTGGCGCTATACACGAAACAATCCGAATAAAATCCTCTTAATTATAATTGAGTTATAGAGGGTCCCTAACAAGTACAATATTTATGATTATTTTGCTAATTAAGGAAACGTGTCCAACGGCAGAAGTACACAAGAAAGTCTTATAGAAGGTCTCGTAAGTGCCGATGCCGAGCAGGATTCACAGGATGCAAGCATGACGCAAAGAGAAGAATCAGTGCATGGAGAAGTTCTTGTTGTTGTGAGTATATCCTTAACTTGTACCATCAAGTAAGACTGACCATCTAAAGAAGGTAATAAGTAAATTAATTAGTTGATTGTGGTGTTCTTAGAATAGAAGCATCATTGTAGCACTGTGTACTCCTCACAGACACCTCGTAACACCACTGTCATGAATTGATTTGCCAGCTTCTTAGTTCTTTGTACTTCCTATCAAGTGATTTCGTTTAGGCTGCCTTAGTAGACAACACATAGATTAGAAAGAAATGCTTACAATGCCATTCATTATATAAAATTTATTTTGCAGGACAATGAGATAGACCCAGAAGTAACAGATTTAATTAATAACGCAAACATGGAAATGCTGGCTACGTTAGTTTTAAATGGGGAAGGCTCAAGACTAATAGGAAGACATTCAAGAAATTCTGAACTACAAGCATTCCTAGATAATGTTCCAACATACATGGTAATTTGTCAACTTTATACTCTGAGATTCTGTATTTTGTTATTGAAAATAGACGTAGTCCATATACTGTTTTAGCAAAAAATAAACAAAGTTCACATAGCTGCAAGGGAAGGAAATATTAGAGATCTTCAGGCTGCTCTGGATAGAAGAAAATTTGCTATAGCTCGCGATCCAATATCACCAAACGGAGCTACACCTTTGCATGTGGCAACAATATTTGGAAAAACGAATATAATGAAATACTTGGGTGGTAGGTTAGTATTCATTTCGTATTTTAAAAAGTGATCACCAGAGAGAAACAATTTAGAAAATCATTGTACTTACAATGAATATATAAATTGTTTTGTATAAAGTAAAAGATAGTAGCAGTAGTTAGGAAGGTACGACAAAAGAAAATTTCAATTTCAGGTTTCCTGAAACTCTCTCAGCGGTTGATTTTGAAGGCAGAACTGCTTTACACTATGCAGCAGTCTTGCCAGATAATGGACATTATTACAATTTACTTCAACAACTGGGTGCCAATTCAAAAGATTTAGATGACGTAAGTTTTCGATAAAAAAACGATTTCTCAAGTTAACTAGGTTTAATTTTTTATAAAGTGATAATTTTACACAGAATGGTAGGTCGGCTGAGGACTATCAGAAAAATCCGGCCGCATTACCATTCGATCAACTTCTATCGGATTATGGTATCAGTGCAGATGATGTGCAAAATATGTTTTCCGACAAAGGTACGTTACCACCCATAATGTTAGCGTCGCTGTACACTTAATAAAATTGCACATAGTATTTGCCATAAATCTTTGCTTTAATTTATTTTACAAATATGTACTTACTTTATCCAAGTATGTTCAGTGCCCGAGGATCATGTATCGTCTCGACGCATTTTGGAAGCCCCCGAGGCTCTGGATACATTGGATCGATGCTACCGCCTCCTCGCTTCTGCTAAACCAGTCCGTACGCCTTTATCGGCTTCATCTAATAGAGCCACTCCTCCGCTAGTTCTTGGAAGATTCCTTAAAAAGCATGTTTTTGACAGTATCAAATATAGAGTGACAAAACTTGATCATGATCTTTTTGATGTCATTTGGCCTGCTGTTAAGAAACTTCCTGATAATAGAAATATAGTACAAACAGTTGAAGAAGACTTCCCAGGAGGCATAACAGCCCCAGATTATTATGTATATAAAGTGTTTCATGAGTTTTTAATGCCCTTAATAAAGGATCTTCACAACATAAATATCAATTCAGAGTTACCAATACATCCTAAATCGGACTTTTTACAATCCTCGTCTGCGAAGTTATCTAAAGAACCTCTTGTTGAATTAAATTTTGATCCAAATGACGAATTTATACTTTCTGGTTCAATAGAATGCGCTCGAAACTTAGAAGGTTTTGAACTACCTTTAAATTTAAAAGTGGGAAAGCTGGAAACTATAGAAAGAATTGTAACTACAATATTGATGCAAGAAGAATTTTCGAAATTTTGTGAACAGACTAACCCGGAATCAGATCAGAAAGGAGGTACTTACTACACATTAAACGAGGTTATGGAAAAGCCATCTGAAATTTGCGCCACGCTTGCATCGAGTGGTCTATTGATAGCTCTCTGCGATAGAGAAGATATTGATGACAGTATGAGGCTACATGGCAGGCATTGGCCTTATGGACGAGGTGTATTTGTAAGTGATGACAAAAGTGTTGCTGTATGGATTAACGTCCATGACCATATTCGAATACTTGTCTCTACCCCACAAGAATCACCGGGAGAAGTAGGTCTTCCGTTTAGTAAACTATCTTACATAATGACTTATCTTCACGAAAAACTTGACTTCGTGTTTGATGTCAAACTGGGCCACTTATCAGCTAGACCAACTTATTTGGGTGCTGCTATTCGCTTTAGTCTTATCGTTAATTTTCCTGGACTGTCAAAGGATCCAGACAACATGAAACATTTATGTGCTATGAGAGGTCTGCAGTACCGTGAAACTTTAAGTACTGACATCGCCAGAATTAGCAACTACCAATGCTTGGGTATAACTGAGGGAAGCTGTTTCCATGATTTCGGCACAGCAGCTTCTAATCTTCTTCATCTTGAAAAGGATTTATCGATGCAAAATTCAGCCCATATAGCAACAATGTTATCAAATATATTTCGAAGAAAGAGAAGTAGCTTAACTGGTCAAGAGAGTCCAGAAAAAAAGGAGAAGTTATAAATGCTCTAAAACAATTATGAATGTTAAACTTATATACACTTTCACACAAGCATTCACACTTCACTATTTAATTTTATCGAATGTTGGAAAGATTGTAGGTATTGAAATTGTATCTGCTCCGTATGGTTGTAGCTGAGCGACATCTAAATGTCTCTATCCAACTGTAAAGTTTTTAGGTCAGTACTATATTATTTTATTCGTTTTCTTGTGGGGTGGCGTGTTCGTGTGAGTCATTAGAGTAATTTCATTAAAAACGTTCACGTTCACTCACTCAACTGCCAGAACAAAGCTTTGCATTTTACTGCACGCTCACCATCAGCCATTCGTGTCTTTCCAACATTAGATACCTACTATGTGATTGTAATGTATAGTTTCGTCCATTGTGTTTGATATAATATATATTTAGTGGCACATTTTAGGGTAAGTTGATTACAGCTGTTCTGAGGTCTCGGGTTCGATTCCCGGGTCGGACAAAATGTTTGTATGCTCTACAAATATTTGTGTCGGAGTTCGGGTGTTTTCTATGTATAATATGTATGTATTTATAAATAAAATATATAAGTATTCCACAATCAGTGTAATTTTCATAGTAGCGTTGTGTCTCAGATATACGAAATATTATTAATATTATTTAAATTACGAGTAAAAAACCTAACCGCACAAAAGCGGCTGACAGCAACTTAAAATCGATCGATATCACAAGCTGTATCAATTATAACTGCCGAGTGCTAATAGAGCTTTTCTTTCTGTCCAGTTCATAGAAGGGAGTTTAATAGTCCACCCGCTGCCCCCACCAGGTGTTCACGTTCACTCACGTTTTGATGTATTCTCGCACCCCTTCCCCGCCCACACATAGAATTGAAGGCCGTCACAATGAATAATTGATCGGTTTCAGGCACAAACCTCGTCGACAATGGCCACATGGACATTCCCATCTTCCGAACCGAAGAGGGCAGATATCTTGCTAAGTGTAAGCCGCTAAAGTTTTAGATAGTAATATAAATACTAATGGCAGTAGTGAACAACAGTAAGGACGTTCATACGAACGATATTTTCACAGCTCTCGGTGATCCTTTGATCAAAGGTCTAACCGAAGTGGCGAACATTAAGCCGAAAGATCCGGTCGCCTTCCTTGCATCTTTTCTTCATAACTTTCCTGAACGCGAGAAGCCAATGTTAGGAGTACAGGTCAGTAAAACATTGGTTGAAAAATTTAATGAAAACTATACTCCCGCAAATAACCGTATACCACCACTCTGTATTCTGCACTGATTTGTCATCTACAAATGCACAATATTCAGTACAGAACAAGCAATATAGATAATACTAAACATTTACGAGTACTTATAAACATTGCTTGCTATTTCAAAAAGAAATTTGTTGGTGTGCAATAGATGCTGACATTTTTTTATAACCATAACCTAATATAATTATAAATACTGAATTACAACTTCTTTTTTGACATTATTAGTCAAAATATTTCACTTTTAATTAATTGTACCTTAATAACGCGCTGTAACACAGGAGACCAACATGATGGTGACGCAAGGAGCGGCTGAAGTTGAGAACGAGCAGGTTCCATCCGCAACTACACCAAAACCTTCCAAAGAGAACAGAAATCGTACTGCCACGAGGCCTAACCGACCTATTGATGTAGTCGCTTTAGAGCCACAGACCGTCACCAGTCCTGACGCTCCGGAAACCGCCTTCAGTAGTGCAACTAGGGTAAATTTAATGACATATTTACGTACTCGTACATATAATACTTACACTGACGACTGTATCATCGAAGGGATTTCAAATGTATTACCGAATTCATATAATAGGTAACGGATATATTGCGCCTTAATCGAAAATTTAATCCTTAATCAATTGGAGAGGCCTATGTCCAACAGTGGACTGCGATAGGCTGATGATGATGATGATGATGATGATGAATCGAAAATTTTGGGGATGAATATAGGAAAATTTTATATTAAAAGGAAAGCTAGATACAAAGGGCAGGCCATGAAAGCAACATTATTTTACTTATACGATGGACTGGGGAGCTCGAGCAGATCATTCGCATACATATTAACTTTGACTAGCTGTTACGGAGAAATCTAAGCTGGCTAACATACCTAGATAATTAAAATCCATGTTAAGGTTGTCTGGAAGAGATCGCTGTGAGCGATAAGACCGCCGATTGTTACGTTTACTTATTTGTAACTCATCTTTTGTTTTTGTTTTTTCTATTAGTGTATACAATAAAGATATAATAAAAAAATAATTAAAACGTAAATATTTTCTTTAATACTGGTATTATTCAACTTTATGCAAAAAAAAACACTATTAAATGGTAATAAGGTTTTTAGTAATATAGCATTCGTAATTATAGGACGAACACGGACAATCAATGCTCCACTTCGCAGCTGCACGTACCCATACACGAAACGCGCTGTTCCAATTACTTCAGGAGTCAGACATTAGTCTGGGGTACAGAGATGAATTATACAGGACTGCTCGAGACGTGTCTATTCAAGCTAACGTACCAGAGAATACTAGCGAAATAGATAAATGGGTGTTACATTTAGCCGCAAGAGGTAAAAAATTGACAAAGCCATATGTGTCCAATTATTTAGTGTCACGATGAATAAATATACTACTGACACTTCATAACAATTAAAATAAGTACGTTTTGTCATGCATGACCATCAAACTGTCTAATAGGGATGAGGGAAAGTTTTTGCAATATTTTAAACAAAAAAATTGTAAACGACAACCCAGTGGTGTGGTTCAGTGGTGTCGTTTACAATACACTAGGCATGGGACAAAATCACAGTGAACGGTGAAAGACCGGTAATTTATCATTCGATTTCGAGGGTTACTACTTACTCACTCGTTGTTTCCAATAAGCTGTTTTCAGACGATGCATAAAGACCCTATTTCGCCTATTTAACAGTGTCTAGTAATTAATTTATTATATATAGCTACCATTCCCTACATAATTATTAAAAACAACTAGATTTTCTGTTAAATAGCGTCTAACCTATCTATCTAGCAACCCTAACCTACGTAAATCTAATGATAAATCACAGTTCACTGTGATTTTATCCGATGTCTACAATACACAGATTTTTTAATAGATTAAAATGTCATTTTATAACTTTGGAACACTGTCAGTGTGTCTATTAATGACGTAGGTAATTAATCTTGTGGCGACTTAAATACTTTTAAAACTTAATGGAATATATTTTTTTTGCGTTGAATAGCATCATTCCTATTTCAATTATAGTGTGTCACAGTTCCATCCACTCGACCGTCTTGACTATTTTAGTCCATTTAAAACCGATTTGGTGCAGCGAATGCAGGCAATGGCAACAGACATGTAGTTCCTAGATAGGTGTTTTTGCCCGGTCTGTAACCTATTTCATTCTAGGAAATACAGAGAAAATAATGGAATTACTGCTAGAAGGATATGATCACATACTTGATATAACAGATGAAGATGGAGTTCCAATTACAGAAGTGATTGCTCTTCGCCGGAACACTGACATGAGCAACTTGCTTGCTTCTATACCCGCGTTTGAGGTCAGTTCGAGATTCCTATTTGTTTATTAACTCATTTAACCAAACTGCATATAGTTTGGTTAAATAAGTTTTAACCACATATTTTTTCAAAATTTGGTAACCTTTTTATTACGTTCTACTACTTTAAATCACCAACAAATTAACCAGAGGAACGATTAATTTTTTTGGAATAAAAGTTTCCCGTACGGGAGAGAAATAATATGTAAATACCTATATACAGAGGCGGATTAAGTATCAAGAGCGCCCTAGGCAAGCATCTCACTATATTATTAATAGCTACTAGTTGACGTTACTAAATGTATGATAGTGATTTACTTCTTAGTGATCATTTCTTTACCAGAACTTTTATTTTTTTACGTGCAGAAACCCCCATGGGCTGTCACCCCATCGGGGTTTGTGGTAGGGCGGTGTATCGGAATCGAACCGACTGAAACCGTACACTGCGCCTGAAATAGGAGGGATCCGATAACAGTTTTTATTAATTACTTATGCAGGATGGAAATCATTCAATCATTTGGAAAGTATTGGCCCGTTTCTGGGCCTGGTGGACCAGGAGAGTTCTAAGCTTCTTCAGGTCCTGCTCCACCCTCTTCTTCTCGAGCATAATTTGCTCGCAGGAGGTGGCGGAGTTCCACGCGCCATCGCTCCCTACCGTGGCCGCATTCAGGGTACCGAGCTAGCGATCCCTCACACCCGATAGCCGCCTCTAAATCCTATGGGAGAGATCCGCCACCACCCTTTAAAGATGCTAGAGGCGCGCTTTATTTTGGGCGATCAGAGCTTCCGCCCACACCGTTGTACCGTATAGTGCCATTGACTGGACAACCTTGGTCTATTACTACAATTCATAGAGTAATCTCCACTACAGCTGCAGTTGTAGCAACTGCATTTTTGTGTACACTCACTAGCCTCAATCTTCGTAGGTATCAGAAAATGAAAACAAAGAAGTAGTGGCAATTACGTAATATAAATCCTAGATGTCAATCTTAAACATCTCTATAAATTTAAGGAATACTTACTGACACAGTTCTTTTTATGTTAGGCATATGTTTTTTCTTTGTTAAAAAATAGTGAGCCGTGTGAGCGTGCCTACTTTGCCTAACGGTTAATCCGCCACTGTATTTATAGATTAAGATTTGAGCGATTTAATAATGATTGTCATTATCAATTGTTTATTACATACATATTATCACAGAAACGTTCCAACAGAACAATGTAGGTACGTAAAGCGTAAAATTTGTCTTTGAGTCATTGAATTACTATACAACCGATACTATGAACCTGTTTTTTAAATTTTGAAACTGAAATAGTCCTAATGTACAAAGCGGGCCAAAGAAAATGAAATAAAAGTTTATTCATGGGAGACAAAGGCATAACAATTAGTTACTTTATTATCATAAAGACCCATACCAAACCATCACTTGTAACATATTTTAGTAGAACTAACAAAGAGTCCTTTGATAAGAGATGTTTGGTTACAGGAATCTCGAGAAACTTTACACAACGCTGTCAGGAAAGGTGAATTAGAAAGCGTGCAAAATATCTTGTCTGGAGAGGGTGCACGAACTCTTGCTCGCAGTCGTAATTCCTTCGGCAGAACAGCTTTACACGTCGCTGTCCTAGCACAACATGAAGATATTGTTGCGTACTTAGCACACACTTACCCGGAGCTTCTCCGCGTTGGTGATAATGTGAGATTAAGTGTTAATAGATTCTTAGTTTATTCAAATAATATTTTAAATAAATTTATAAATAAATATTTATTTTCAGTTGGAACGTACGCCGCTTCATTACGCAATGGGAGTGGAGAAGATAGAATCTATAAGCAGAGTCCTGATCCGAGCTGGGGCCAAACGTGTTCTCAAAGATCTTAAAGGTCGCCAACCTACTTACTACTTTATGAACAAATCCGAAATTCTACGACTTAAAGAGGAGGAAGAGGTTTACTGATAGAAAATACATTTTATTATCTCAAAGCATGATACCTGCATAAGTTAATTGGCATCAAAGATGGCTTGATCGAAAAAATCAAGGGAGATAAGTACAGAGCGTTTAAATAAGAGGGTTTTTTCATTGCTTTTTATTATGCACGTTTTGCAATTGCAAACTTTAAATGTGTTAGTTTATTTAGGTAAAAGTCGCGTGCCGAAGAGTAGAAATTTGTCAATTTTCTATGGGTATGTATTTTCGTATAATATACTTGATGGGACCCTAATATAAACCTTACATATTAGTAACTAAAATAAAAGATACATGTCAAAAAACTTGTTTTATTTATACGAACTTCGTACTTGACTTATTTTTTTTTTATTACAACAATAATCCACATATAACAAATTGGAACAAAATGATCTAAAAAATATGGAATAATTAATCTAAAATGGAGTACATGGATAACTAAAGAATAAGCATAATTACGTACACAAATTATGATTTTGGTGCGCGCACAGTGAATGATCTAATTCTATAAAATTTGTAAAGTACCTACAAATAATTAAAGTTAGCGTTATAAACAGAGCCTGATTCAAGTATATCTAAGCTTAGTTATATATCGAAGCGTGCTAAGCTCGATCAGTTTCCCAATCTGAATACTGGTTACTCCGTTGTTTCTCTATATCATAATTTGGTGTATCGAGAGTGTTGCACTGTTAACAAAATAGGGATCCAGATGAGATAACAAGTGACTGACTGTGGTCGGGGCAATTATATAGCCTTTTTCGAACATAACCACAATTACTGAACCATAAAAACATAGAGATACTGTAAGTTTTGTTTATAGGTTTTTCACTAAATTCCAATGCGTTTTAATCAACTAAAATATTTATCCAAGAATTCTTAGACCTTGCTCCTTCTTTTGCATTTACAGTATTTTGAACAGTTCAAAGTATTTTTTATGTAATTAGCTTAGTAATTAAAGCGCACCTCAATAGTTATGCAAACAAATTGCCCCTGAAACCGAATCTCGGATACACAATAAATATATATTAAAAATAAGTTAATATTCTTCACTTGTGGGATACTGCCAAGGTACGGGGTTTATATACATTTGTGACACGGATCCACGCATACCTATAACAAAAGGGTACATGTAAAATGAGTTATTAATAATAAAAGATTGCACTAGTGTACCGCTGAAAGACGTCTCAACTCAATCAAATCTCACCAAAATCAACCCAAACGCTAGCTCTGAAGACATCTCAAACTAGTTAGGCAAATTAATTTACTCTCTTTGTAGAATTTTCCTGTCTCTGATCAAAACACTTTTTTATACTTATTTCATCTACAACTTACTAAGTTCTCCTTGATTGAGCGGCACGGGCAATGGTTTATTTTTACTAGTTCGCAGCCAATCCCGGTATGCTTGCTCGCCCATAGATCGCCGCCGCTCAGTTTCGATAGCCGCTCGTGCTGCCTTGCGCTCCTCTTTGGTTTTCATAGCTGTATAGAAATGGTAACGTATCAGCGGACTCTCTGCATACGGTGCAATAGACAAGTAATAAGTAATTTAAAAGGAGATTATTATTATATATATATATATATTTATTCTTTATGCACAAGTAATAGTTGTACATTGGCGGACTTAATGCCATAGGCATTTTCTCCCAGTCTACCTTAAGGTGGTGCTGAAATGTGTGGCTAGGTGCACTAGACATTAATAGGTGAAGTAAAAGAAAATGATTGATAAGTTAGGCAGAAGTAATGCGATAAATATACATACATTCATACGTACCAAATACATACACATATAGGATATAGGAACATACATACATAAGCCTAAAAATCAATAATTTATAAAATTTCAAAGTTGTAATGAATCTGCTAGCGTGTCCAGGATGCGAGTTCTAGCTTTCATCTTGAATGAGAGGCGGCTGGGTGCTATCGTGACTTCGAGAGGGAGAGCATTCCAGAGGAGCAGGGATTGGATTAGGAACGAGGAGGGGACACAAGCGGAAGTATGAGTGGGGAAGAGCAGAAGAGGATTGTTAGCTAAACGGAGAATTCTATCGTGGTTGGAACACAGAAATTGGAATGAAGATGTCAGGTAGGAGGGGCAATGGGTGAGTAGATAATGGAACAGAGAGTGGTGGTGTCGGCGCTGGCGAAGTGAGCCAGTTCAATTCGCGACGAAAGGAGGAAACATGGTCATATTTGCGAAGGTTAAAGACGAATCGAATGCAGTTATTCAGAAGGCGGTCATATTTATTGAGTAGGTCTGCATTCAGGTCATAATAGCATACATCACCATAATCCAGGATGGGGACAATAAGAGTCTGTACAAGCATCGCTTTTGTCTCGGAGGAGAGGAAATTCTTGAGTCGATAAAGGTCCAAGTGACTCTCTGGCTGACGCTCGTGACCTGGGTTTGCCAGCTGAGCTTGGAGTCGATTATTAGGCCTAGGTTCTTAACGGCAGGACTATAAGGGATGACTATGCCGCTAAAGGTAATGGGTGGCAGTTTACCATGGTCTAACCTTCCAATCATACGTTGACTGCCTATGATGATGGCTTGACTCTTCACTGGGTTCACAGATGAAACCAAACCTATTAACCCAATCATTAATAGCCCCCAGGTCGTTGTTTAACATCAAGATGGCTTCGTCTATTTGTCTTTTGAGGCTTGATAATAGAGCTGCAAATCATCCGCTTAAAGATGGTACGCACATTGAAGGTTTGGAGTGATGAGGTTGATAAATATTGAAAATAATAGAGGAGAGAGAATGCCCCCTTGAGGGACGCCACAGTCGAGTTCACGCCACCCTGAAGAGGATTCATCGACGCGGACAGACTGTTGACGCCCCTGAAGATACGACGAGAACCAGTCCAGTGTATCAGGCGTAATCATAAGATAGGACAGGATGGATAGAAGGATATCGTGACTGACGGAGTTGAATGCATTAGAGAAGTCAACCAAAGCCAACACTGTTACTTTGGATTTTTCAATTCCTGCTCGGATGTCAGCAGTCACTTTTAGCAGAGCAGTAGTTGTGCTATGCTCGGGTCTGAACCCCGATTGAAAAGGGCTTAGTAGGTTGTTTCGATAAATGTATTGGGATATTATTTCTTGGTATTACGAAAATAATAAGAAATAAAAATTTTACTTGTAGTTTTAATCAAATAATTGGTGAAGGTAAGTCAAAGTTCAAGTTATTCGCAGCTAAGCATTAACTACTATACCTTTCATGTCTTCCTCCTTCTTTCGTATCCACAATGCAAGTTTCTCTTCCTTTGCCCTCTCTCTTTTGTTCCTCTCTTCCTCAAGTAGCTCGTTGGCTCGATATTTACGCATGATCTCTTCAGCACGTTGCCGCTCCTTTTGAAGTCTTTTTCTCTCAAGCCATCGTCGATATGACTCCTCTCGCTGTTCCTTTGAGGTGGTAGGCATTACCTGCTGCTTAGATTTTTCAAGACGAGCCTTTTCGCGTCTCTAAAAGCAAAAACTACCAAGTAAAGCCTACATAAAATATAAGATATATGAGATAGTATAAGATATTTCCGATAAAATAAGATCGTCGAAATTAGCACCAAATATGACTTACCTCTTGATCTTTCCGCGCTACCCATTGTTTATAGGCCTCATTTTTCTTCTGCTCGTTACGCTCCCTTTCTAATTTAGCAGTTGTTGTAGTAGACGCAGACACCACTGATAATCTGAACGTATCAGGCCCATCTTCACGATATGTGCGGTCAAACCGTGGAGTTTCTTCATCTCTGGTTATTTCTTCTAAATTTCCCGGATCCGTCAATCTACAAGACTTCCTTTTAATGCTGCTTGATGAACTTGACTCTCGGCCACTAAGGAATGGAGTGGAGTTACTCTTATAACTGCTGTGCGGATGAGGAGTTACTTCCGATAGGCTAGATTCAGTCTGAAGAGATGTTAAGGAATGCGTAGACTCAACTGGCTCAATATAAATAGCAGGATTTATGAACCGTGTTTTGCTCTGTCTCGATGTGACTGATTCTGAATCACTGAAATATTGTATATTTTCACCAGCCCCGTTAAAAATATGATTAGAGTTTCTACATTTCAAATCGAATTTTGAGGTGTTTCTAGCACTGTCTCCGAAGTTTCCTTTGTCGATATCGCTCGCCATTACCTCAAATACAGTAGGTAATATTAATTTATTATCATTTAAATAATCAGAAATAAGACGTATGCAAACGAAATAGAAAAATACAAATCAACAGCAAAAGTCTTTCAAAATCACTTACTTTTTCCGATTCTGAAAATAAAATAACGTAAGACATTTGGTAGCGGCCAGTTTGCCTGGAACTTAAAACTTTTTATTACACCTACATTAGACTTGTTAAAATATAGATAAATGAAACAGATGTTAAGATCTACGGTAGGAGCACAACTACTCGTAGATTATTTTTGTGTAAGATTCAAATATAATCATGACCTTCTTGCCTTTTTCCAATATTTAGTTGCCATTGGCGCAATTAGATTTATTCACCCAGTCTCCTAATCACCTGTCGGTCATTGGTCACTTAGGAAGTCCCTTTCTACTCATAACCTCTTTTACGCAGTTCATTTATCTTTTATTTGGTCGTCCTCTACTCTTATATCCGTCAACCAGTCAACTTTCAAAAATAAAACTTTCTTTACCACATTTTGCTCATCTCTACGCATCCACTTCAGGATAGCTTGACGCTCCTCAACTTTTCATCTACTGGCGCTACTTTCAGGCTTCCTGTAATGTATTTCCTATATCCGTGTGATGACGAAGTAAGAATACGGAGTGTCACCACACCTACTCATCCCGTGGGTGTCGTAAGAGCCGACTAAGGGAGCAAATAACGCAGGACAACAGCACTGCAAAGAGAAGGAAAACTTGAAACAAACCATATACCTACCAACCAGTCTGGCCAGCGTGTGTGAGTCAACACCTCTTTGATAGACCGCTACACACCTACAAGACTGTATCGACTAAAATTGTGCAAGGTTTGCCCCAAAAACAATCATCATCATAGCTAGCTAGGTGAAAATAGCACTTGCCTATTTAACTATATTTTACCTACATAGCAGTATCTCGAGTTCCTATTCCTTTTAAAACGCCTCAACAACATAACGCGACTCTGACGCGTTACCAAATCGAACGATAGAATTCTCAGCAGAATTTATGCCAGGTAAAAAGTAGATTTGTTCTTGCTGTTCGTTAAACGCAACGTACGTACGTGTTACAGCTCTGTCAGCTTCAGTATGCTGACACGCGTATATTACAATGTCGTATTCATTTACCCTATCGCCAAGGGGGCACGTGTGCGGGGCGTCAGTATAGGCGCGGATGATAATCGTTATCTACCCACCATTCGCGTGTAACATCTGTTTGCTCATTATTTTCCTGCATCAGCATGTGTTTTCGTGAAAAAAGGACGAAGTCTAGGGAAAGGCGTGCTATTTGACTTGGCCAATGAATGTGCACGTCATAGGAGACTACTATCCGCCTACTCGTTCTATTTGTTAATCTTGATTGTCAAGTTTCTCCCTCCACCTAAGGTTCGCTTTTTAACATTATTATTATTTCAAAAGTAGGTTAGCGTCTCCCTTTTCGAACCGGGATAGGAATAAATTTTCCTAACCACCCAACTTCTGCATTTGGTTGGTCAGTTAGTACCTAACAAAATATATTAACAAACCACCTGTGAATTGTAATTCTTTTATATCTATAAAATATTTAAAAAAATAACAAGTTTTCTTTACATTTTTTTTTTAACAGAATAGACTTACTTTTACTATACAGAATCCATCTTTTTTATATAACTTCTCATGACAAAAAATGACCCACGGTAATTTCCTTACTGATAAACTCCATTTGGCATCTGAACAAATCTATCATTGTCTATTTACATTTACCAACCAACCAACCAGATCCATAAGTTGAGTAGACCAACCAGTTGGAAAACTCGGGTGGTCGGCACGACTCGAACTCTTAACTATTGAGTATCTAGTATTATTATGCTATGCATTATGCTTAGCTGGCGCCACTTCAATTTAGATTTTGAGGCACTTGGAAGTGATTGCATTCTGCACACATATAATTCATGAAACAGTTGGCCGATTATGACGGATTTGAACTGACTAGTTTACGTAGCGGCAATAGCAAAAAAATGTTGATGCTCAATAGCGGTTCGAGTAGTATAAGGATCTTAATTGACAATTCAGTGACGTCGTTATACGTATTTGAGTATGAGGTATAAATAAAAACTACAGTTACACATTCATAGAAATGTATTCGTGTTTGTTGTCGACATTGGATACATTATTAAATTAAATATTGACTATAAGCCAATCATATCACTTTTATAGGAAAAAGTAAACCTGAAAAAATTTATAAGCATTTCTAACTGAAATTCTAAGGAGTTTTTTTTCCTAACTTAGGAAGTCCATTTCAGTGTATCGTTAAGTAACAACATTATATTTTAGCTTAATTAAAACCTATCGAATAGTTTTGGAACAACTGGCGGTACAAATAGACCACATTGTAGTTTCATAGCAAGTTTACGTCTTATAGAAATAGTAAGAAAATAAAAGAGATAGTTGTGATTATTTGTTGTGTTATAAATGTAATCTCAGGTGCACAATATTGTTAGGTAATTTGACCAAATAAACGAGTTTCAAAGTAATAAATCAGTCTCACGTAATAATACGAGTCTTCGCCCTCTTCACCTTGCTATAAGACCACAATATGAACATGGAATCTATTTTTTACTCACTAGATATTCAGCTACTAGACTGAATGTCTGTATAAAATGTACAGTAGGAATATTTTAAATGTCATGATATATCAAGTCTAAAATTGTTAAAAAAAATACGACGTTTCAACAATAACCATTTGTGCTTGGCCATTTTCTTCACCAGAAAATATTTACACTCAACTAGTGAATAAAAAATAAATCATTGGAGATGTTCAATATTACTCTTAGATTCACAAAATATTCTTACGATTGCATGTGGCTAAAGAGATACTAATTGAGATTAAAATGGGCCTAGTATAAATTCTCAGCATTAGACGAACGAGGCTTCTTGATCTTCTCGAGGTTCTTAATGACGATGTCGTGCAGCGAACAATAGCGGTTGCGGATCTCGCACATCACTAACCACAGCGACAAATACTCTTTTTCGTCCAACTCCTGTCAAAATTCAAATGAGAATATAGTGACAATACCAAAAAAAGTCCCTAAACAACGGATTCATTATTATACATACACAAAGACTATTTTTAATGGGCTTTCGACAAACCCTAGACAGGTAGTTATGTCATCATTTATTTTTCTCTTAAGAATATTATACACAGTCGGTAGGATAAATGAATATTGCAGGCATGCAGAGGGCATATTTTATACTGTTATACATTCTGCTGTAACTGGTTCTTTGGGTCTCAACCTAAAAAATCAAACAGTTGGCACCCTGATCTGATCTTTTTTTTTATTTTCTTTTTAAAAAGACAGCTCCCGCATTAGGAATATTTCCTTTGTCGCAGGGGACTTTACAAACATACACGAAACGGACACAAATAACACCCAGACTCAGAACAAAAATTTGACGATCACACAAAGTGATGTCCCATGTGGGGATCGGACCTATAACACTTAGCGTGGTAGGAAGCGGCGTGGCGACTACTTAAAGCACTTCGGCATCCTAGCAGTCAAAATAATGTTTGAGAAGGAAGGGTTTTTGTTAATTTCTACATTAATAAGATTGCTTAATCATGCTTTGTCTAGAATAGGCTAGATATTCTTATATAAGAATATCTAAAAAATATATAATCCAACAGACATCTCAGGCTTACTGATGTAAAGTGGTTACCAGTGCCTAGAAACACTAGCAACACTACTTACATAATATTCTGTCAAACCTTACTAGTATCTACTTAGATCCTGGCACTATTCAAACTTAATTGGAGCAGAATATTTAATTATAATTTTTGCAAAAAAATAAAACTACTTTTACAATAAATGTAACATGTAGCTAAGGAAACTCAAACAAGTAGGTATTATGTGTCACATAGTTGTGATGAAGGGTTTGTGCATTGCAGTCACTATAAAAGTAATGATGAAAAACAATTGGTTTTTTAATGGTTATAGGGTTTAAGGTTACCTGTAAGAAATTGCTTTTTAGCGATAAGGCTGCCATTTCTACATGGTCATTATTAAATGGAGTATCCCCACCCCTATTATCCCATGGGTGTTGTAAGAGCTTGCTAAGGGAGCAAACAAAATACTTGGCAAAAACCCTACACCAACCTGTCTGACCATAGGGTATAGTAAGCCAAAACCTACTTTCTAAGGAGACGGCTATGTCCAGCAGTGGACTACTAAAGGCTGTTGTTGATGACGATTAACTTGATATACTCCTTTATGTATAATATACTAAAACTATCTTATTCTATTCTAGGGAGCAAATAAGTCACCTGATGGTAAGTGACTACTACTACCTATGGACCTATCTGTATCTGGATTCTAAAATACATTCAGATTTCACAAAAAACTAAGCATGTGATGAATACAAATCAGCTTTCATAAGTTTTACCATCTACAGATAGTTTCTCAACGGTTAGAGATACATTACAGATGCTGTGGGCACCTGCATCCATTAGTAATTAATAAATGAGAAGGTAATTTATGATAAAGATAATATGAAGTACAAAAATATAGTGAATTTGTAAGTACATTGCAAATAAGGTTACTTACTCTAACAGCTCTTCTATAGTCATCAATATGAGGGTATTTGGCCACCTTTGATACAATTTTTGCCCTTGAAATAAAATACCGTGATATTTGGTCAAAGAATGCTGCAGCTTCAGACTCGACTGATTGAATTTCAGCAAGTGTGTCTTCTTGTATTGAAACTCCAAAATTATTGCCATCTTCAATTTTTGGTATCATAAAAGATATCCACATTTTTAACTAGAAAAGTAAAAAAAAGTGTTATTGGTAAAGCTTTTCTGCCATGAGTACTAAAGATATGTAAGATATATAAGTGTTTCTAGGATTTTACATTGAGGTAGTAAGATTCTGAAATAAGTTAACTTTAAACAACATGCTCTTTCAAATATTGATCTCCTCATTTTAATTTAATAGTGTTATTGGCAAGGTTTTTATGCCATGAGCACTAAAGATATATAATAATGGTATTGTACATTGAGGTAGTAAAATTCTGAAATAAGTTAACTTTAAACAACATTAAAACTTTTAAATACTGATCCTCTCATTTTAATTTGGTTATATTTTGAGCCCTTTGTTAGTGGTCTAAATACTTAGGCCTAAGAATGTATATACTGTAATTACATTATTACTACTAAACTTACCAAGTTAGAATCTTCAACCAATTCTCTAATGTGAGGTTTAACAAGATGTATAAGGTCACTCAGAGGCTTGTTACATGGTACTGTACCATTAGGAAGAGAATATACCCTGGTGCCTTCTACAGAAGCATTGCTTGATGACAATTCTGAACTATCAATTCGCTGACGTTTTGCATTTGGTTCATTTGTACCTGATGAAGGAGGTGGCACTGGAATGTTTAAGTCCTGAAATAATGCCACCAATATCAAAGTTAGAAAAGAGTAAAACTTATTCCATGAGAAATCTAATGAGATTTTGTCTTCAGTTTATGAAGTATAAGCACTGCTTTGTGTCACAAGGTAATTTTAATATATATAATTATATACTTAGTTGTGACACTATCATATAAAGTATTTAGATTTATTATTATTATTATATAGACAGGCAGGAAGTTAAAACAGTTAATAAAAGCCTGTGTCCTGATGGATTCATATTAGATGTTCTTCTTGGATTCAATTAATTATTTACTGTTCATTTTGTAACATTTGGTGTGAATATATTAGTGTTGAATATATTAGAACATTGAATATATTAGAACTCGGTTCTACTCTTACCTGGTGTACATCGGATAAATCACGATCTTGAAAGTTTGGAGTTTCTAGGAGCTGATTTAATTTTACAATTTTTTCTGGAAAACCTTTTATTATTAAGTGTTCAGCCTTTATCTTAAGGGAATCCTTGTAATCCTGCACCTGCAAACAAAGTGCCAATTGAAGCCACCCGCAAAGTAAACTGCTTACTTGTCGCTGCGCGTATGCATCAGACGACAGCATTGCACAGGGAGGTTATGTTATTTGATATTTTAACACTCACCGCTGCCATTGCAATATCAGTATTTTATTTTCCTTTTAAATACACTTCTTCAACAAAAACTGTCGAATGACATGCAATATCAGTATTTGAAGGTAATATGTGAGAAAGACCGTGAGGTCACACACATCAATCTAAGTTACTCGTGTCAAACAACACGACGGATCGTAGCGTATGTATTACAAAAAATAAGTATTACCTTTTTTGTAACGTCTGTCATTTTCTTAATATTACTTTTACGGGGATTCAAGCACTAATATAATAACTTTTATTACAAAATACTGTAAAATTCTACACAACTTATACTAACAACTCGTGTGTATGAATGAATGAAATGAATTTCGTTTTGCTAGGCTCATTCATTCGACTAAAAGAACAATGAGTTACAAACTAAAAAATATAGCATTGCTGTACCAATTTCATATTATGTTCATTTAATTCAAGTGTATATTGCTCACAATTAGCATCCATTGTAAATTAAAACAATATTTTTACTTCGTTATGCTATATGACATAACGGCCTTTATACTTTTTCTAAAAAATACTGGTAACTTTTTAATGCAAACTTTATGATTCTCCTTAGATAGGAGCGAAATAAACAAATTTAAGACATTAGGGATGTATAGGGACATAATCAATGGTCAGGCTATTTTCAGTCTTTAAGCAGTAAAGGATGTTCCACAACTAAAGTGTAAGGCATGTGTATATCTGTTTTAAAAAAGAGGTAATCTCCGTTTCAAGAATTACAGACCATTCCTACTTCTGCTGTTTACTAGTAATAGGCATTAATGCTAATTAGATTTAATTTCATGAAGTGCGAATTCTTATGACTTAGTTGTTAATCGAATGAAAAACGATCGTAACTTGTTGGTATATCACTAAGTATTAATTTTACATCAATAACTTCTTTTTATTTTAACTCACCGTGATTTTTGCGATCAAAAGTGGCTGCTATTTTATTTTCTCTAATATTATTACCGAAATAATGCAATATAGGGTTTGTTCGCGATATGCTAGCCTTAGTCATTTCGTCACTTAACACTATCTATTTACAAAAAATATCCCTATCTATTCACAAAATACCTATTTACAACGTACATTTCACACTCTTAAAAACTTAAATTACCAATACCTACTCTATAATTAAACTTATTGACAAATACTATATAGTAGTAATGGAATAATTAGTCTTCACACTCAATTGTAAATTCTTAATTAGCATTTAGCAGTAAGCAAATTAATTGTAGTTGTAAAATTTCGTGAACGTATGAATTAATACGTATACGAAATTTCATCGCTTCATTCGTTAGCGCTTCACTAACATAGCGTGTGCTTTCTTGTCAACGCGAAGACTAAATTTAATTTAATAAATCTGCTAAAACTACTAATGCTAAATTGCTAAGTAAACTAAAAATGAACTGTCTGTCATCACGTTATTTATCACCAGCGAAATAGGCACTTAACCTATTTCACTGGGAACAGGGACCGAGCGCGGCGTGATTGATGCTATTTCTGAGAGTTCAAAGGATTTTATTCATAATCACCTCAGTCTACGCTTGTCCACTGCTGGACATAGGCCTCTCCCAATGATTTCCAGCGGGGACGGTTGATTGCGACCTGCATCCAACGGTTTACGGCAACCTTTACCAGGTCGTCCGTCCATCGTGTAAGCGGTCGTCCCACACTGCGCTTTCCAGTACGTGGTCTCCATTCGAGAACCTTGCTGCCCCATCGGCCGTGAGTTCTCCTTGCTATGTGCCCTGCCCATTGCCACTTTAGCGCGCTAATCCGTTGGGCTATGTCGACCACCTTTGTTCTCCTGCGGATGTCCTCGTTGCGGATTCGATCACGCAGGGAAACGCCAAGCATAGCTCTTTCCATAGCACGCTGAGCGACTCTGAGCTTTCTGATTAGGCCCATAGTAAGACACCACGTCTCAGTTCTGTAGGTCATCACTGTTTTCTTGTAGTGTTTTGTTAAAGTTGTTCATAGAATTGGTACCTATTTAGTATTTGTTAATAAGAAGTTTAATTATAGAGTAGGCATAGATAATTTAAGTTTAGAAGAGTGTAAAGTATTCATATTAATTCATAAGTTCACGAAATTTCACGACTACAATTATTTTGCCAACTGCTAATTAATAATTCACAATTAAACGTGAGTGTGAAGACTAATTATGCCATCACTACTGTTTACAAATTATTTTTGGATGAATCGGACGGATTACTCGTAATGAAGCAGGCCAGTGGCGTAGCCAGGCGTGGACGAAGTGGACCCTCGTCAACGGCCTTGCACTTAAAGGACTTTAAAAGAGCCCCCAGACTTTACTACAAGACTTACTACTTGATCACCTTTACGCTCAAAAAAGAACGTCACAAAAAAGCGACTGGGATGCATAGAGATAATACAGATAGAGGGAAAAGGTATTGGATCGCCTGTAAATCTGTAGAAAGAGAAAGAAGAGAGCGACCACTTCAGGCAAACAGATATCAGCGAAAAGATGCGAGAGAGATGCATGTAACTAGCCGTCTTCTTTTTCTTTCTACCAACGTCCCCGGATCGTGGTCCGCTTCTATCTTTATATTTTCTCTATGCTGCGATGCGGTTGTAACTACCTTTAACGATCGCAACCGTTAGATTGACGGAATATGACACTTATCAGGAATTATTATCTATGAGTAAGCGTTTTTCGCATATTTACCATACATTATTTCTACTAGGAAACTGCAAAGGAATGCCAATGGTAATGGCATTAAGTGACATCGAAAGTTGATCGGAACTGAATTGTGACTAAATTTTATTACGAGAATTATCCTTTTGGTCACTTTCCAGCCATATGAGTCCGTTCTTCTTACCAGTACCCTCCATAGTTAACAGAAAGGTGGATAGGAGGAACAAGCGCGCGCTATTTGATTTGACCAACGAGCATGGTGTTAGCGTTTGCCGTAGATGTCAGTTGAGTTGAGTTTAGTTTGTATTTATTTGAAACAATAACCTACTAATTAGTAAATTAATTGTTACATGAGATTGAATCCCTTGTGACCTTACGTCTAACTTATAGTCGGCCAAAGGAAAAGGTTGGAGACAGTTATTTACTCTAGCTTTTACTGAACTGTTTTTATATAAACATTTAAATAAAACACACAATATCTTTATGACCTAATAAAATATTAAATAAGATTAGAATTAATCAGTCCACCGGTGGCCCGTGTTGCTCTATGATTTAGTATATTCAGATAAATTCTGAATATTGACAGGGTCCAAATAATTTCGCATTTTCTTATTATCATCTAGTATTCTCCGTCTAATAAATGCGTTTTAGCTTTGTATGCCACTGTAGACCGTTATAAATTTTACTTTCTTTTGCACACTTTCTAAGAACAATTTGGGAAAATAGTGAAGTAATCTAGTTAAAAGTATTGAAACGAGTGAATCGAAAAGTCCATAATTCAAACCACATCAAAATATAACTGCACTTTATAATGTTACAGTAGTTTTGATCGTTTGTCTGATTATTTGGGAAATATAGTTGTGAATTATATGTTCATAATACATAAAATATTTTGATGGTAAATGAGATATCTACCTAAACCCAATTTCATTTGTTACAGATCGAGTATATAAAGCACTTGTTTCAGGTTACTATATAGGTCAGGTGGCTGTATACACGTGGAAACTGACAATGAAAGTAACGAGGTCATTCGATCACTAAATTTAACTCTACATTTTTTTTATGACCGGGACCTAATATGAAAATCGATTCTTAAGGTCCTAATCTTTTATAAAAAGAATTTTGATTGATTTTGAAAGGATTTTGATGCATTTATCTTTGTCTATGACCAAATCACAACCACAGTTGAAATCACTGTGACTAAAAACAATCATTTCATAATATGATTATGATTTAAAAGTAGCAATAGACATTGACAATAAATTGAAATTAACATCACAATTGTCACTGTCAGTTTTAAACAAAACATGGTAGATATTTTAGGTTATAGGTATATAAATATTCAGATGAACGATTAATAAATGACTGTGTTAAGTAATATACTAGTATAATAAATATTTGGAGAAACAATGACTAGCTTTAGATTTAACTTTTCCGGGGAAACCGTTAGCAATGTTAATGCATCTACAGCAGGTAAACTACACAACTACTTTATATAAATAAATTAATTAATCTTGACATTATTCAATAGATAGATTATATTCCACAGATTCCAGCAAAGTTATACAGTGGTTTGACAGTTGCGAAGTAGTACCAGAACACCAAATAAAAAATTTCGATGAAAAAGTTACTCGCGCGAAAATGTTTGCCTGTGGTGATGTCGAAATTGGACATGTAGTCGCTAGCGAAGCTTTAGCAAGAATTGAAGAGAGTGGATTAGAAAATGCAGTTAAACTAGCAGATAAAGAGCATAGTGACTTGGTTGCTGGCACATATGAAGGTACATTAAAATTACTAATAATATATCGGCGGCATAAAAGGTTTAATATTCTATATCATTTTGGCCAAAAGACCCCTTTTCCAAAATGAACTGGTACCTCAGAGTTCCACAGCGAAATTACTTTAAAATCCTATCTCTAGCTTTACAAAATACCTATAAATTTAAAAACTTTCTCATCTATTCTATCTATCTTTAGACTTTGTCGACCCCCAAAATCAGTTTTTGTTTATGTCGTCCCCAGGAAACCGATTTCGACCCCAAGGGGTGGAAATCAACCACTTCGGGAATCCCTGATCTATAGTTACCGATTTATCGCCACCTTCATTTTGGTTCATTATGACCATGGGACAAAACATTTGTTCAGTGCTGCGCTAAAGGCGTCATTGGCCCTGTCAAGCGATGACGATTCACTGGTGTCTTTGCCACAATCAATATGTTTTATTTACGTTTCACTGTTAATTCGCCAAAAATTGGTTTTGTGTTCTTTCTTTGTGTTAATGGAATTTTAATAAATGTGTCAGTGATTGTAAAAACTATTTGTATGTATGATAGTGAGATGGCACATGTTGGCAACCGCAAAAGAAAAGATAAAGTATGAGTATAATAAGTTAAGGAGAATTAAAGTTAAATGACTCAAGGCAATGAAACGCTAGTGCGAAGTAAAAAATTAATCGTCAAAGTTGAACACAGTATTGAAGCCTTTTAGCCTTAGTAGGTCGCTGTTATTCGGCCCGGCGCTGCGTCGACACCCTGGCCGTGTGGTCGTGAAGTTCTATATCCTCATAATGCGTTAGTTTAGATTGCACAGTTTTGCTTCTGCAGCAGCTAAGTGTTCGCTACCTTTTTACGACGAAGATGACTGTAATGACGATTGTTGTTCCGAATAGGGTTAGCAAATAACGTACCTACTGATGTACGTCATGGGAAAAAATCGTTACAGGGAGGACTTCTTGTTCTTTTTGTGAAAGCATTTGTCTATCGATATCTTTTGTTTTCCCAGCGATGGTGTCCTGTAGAACTTCCCACTATACATTGTGATGTATTAGGTAGATAATAGTGGTCACCGTTGAGATGAATAGTGGTGTGTTATAATTGTCGTCCATCTTCATGTTTGTTTTGTACTCGTTAAGTGAGTAGATGGTAAAATCGTTACCCTGTAGTAAACATCCTTGCATTAAAGTTACAATGCTAGATGTCGTCATTGCATATAATTTACACCATTTTGAACACGCTGCGCAAAGTACACGTTCCGCAACAAATCGCCAACCAGGTGTTTGGCGAGTGTGTCCGCCTCGCAAGGAGCCTTTACTCTGTAAGCTAAATACTCGCATGTTTTTGTTATACGATCTCGTTTTAGTACCGTACACAGCCTTATCTCATCTTCCGAAATTGAGATATAGTTGTTTTTCTGAAAGTTTACAGCAATATACTGTGACTGTAGTTGTATAATACTAAATGTGGTCTCCGTTTTCAGCGGAAGTGGAGTAGCCTTATAGAGCAGAAAGTCTTCATCTGAAGTGATCGTGTATCTCAAATAAAAAGTAGTTTGAAGTAACCCGCGCTGCGAAGTACAACTTGTAGATATCCTTGACATCTCACATATTTTCTAAAGGAAATGTCAATCTTTTGGGGAGTATTCCAGATATAACGTTCAACTGTTTTATTAAGTCTATAGGCGTTAGTAAATGTACATCCATATGACCTTTGTATACGTTAGTAAGTGTATCGAAAAGCATTTCTTGCATATCCCTTAGGTTTTTTGTAATAGGTAAGTAGCGAGCGATGCTGAATTGAAGTAACTGGTTGCCATACCTAATAATCTCCATAGTTGTCTAAACCTTAGCCAAATTCATGTTAGTTTGATTTTTAAATCGTTGAAGAGATGAAGGTTACGTACCTAGTTAAGTAAGTTAGCGCGTAGATCTGACACGTAGTTGACGGTGACGGAGCAGCACTAGGTAAGTTTCATACCTTGTTAAGTTGGTTAGCTCGTAATTCTGGCACGTAGTTGACGGTGACAGAAGTGTAGAGCAGCGCTAGTTTGCGACCCGAAGACAACAAAGTTACCGTAATCTTCTTAGTTCAGGTCTTCTCAGGTTTAGCTTACTTAAGTGTCGATATATGCGTAGTTGTCTCAATTCAACTGGTAAGACCCGCTGGTGGGAGGCTAGTTGATCCTATTCGCTACCGCCAAAAAGACACAAGTCGTTAAATTACCTTTTGTGTGCTCGAAGGACCATAACGGTACAGGCCAGTTAGCTTTATTAATCATCGGATTGTTGTGAATTGTTTCCAAAAAATAAACTATTTGTATGTACGATAGTGAGACCGTACAACATAAATAAAATACCAATGGCACAAAATAAGGATTCTTTAAGTCTAATAATAGCAAAACCTCCTTTCTAAGGAGAGGCCTATGTCCAGCAGTGGACTATTATAGGCTGTTGATGTGATGTGATGTGTGATGCGAATAATAGCATACGTGTAATTAATACTAATAGTTAGTCAACCTTAGTTAGTTAGTCCTTTGATAGATCACGATCGTAAGTAGCTAGGTAAAAATAGTAGCTCAAAATGTTATTTAAAGAACAGCCCAAATAATATTAATAATGTACCTCACATATCTCACTACCCCAACTAGGATTCTGGAGCCCAAGGCAAAGCCTATGCTATGGTAACCAGACTGCTCATAAACAAACTTATATATTTTTAAATACATACATATTATAGATAAATTACACCCAGACACAGAACAAATCACCGTGCTCACCACACAATATTTGTCCCGGGTGCGAATCGAACCCACGACCTCCGGCTTAGCAGTTAGGGACACTAACCACTAGACCACAATTAAAACAAACATAGCATTTTACCTATATATTTATTTACTTTACATCTTCATGCACTTATGTACATCGGCGGACTTAATGCCCTAGGCATTCTCTACCAGCCAACCTTTAGCTGGTGTAGAAATTTTGTATGTCTGAATATAGTTTCCTATTCCGTTTAAAATATTCGATAAGAGGTTGAACAAATTATAGAAAACAGGATAAAACTATACATTCTAGAATGTTTTATTTCGTTTCGTGATTTCAGTTGGTGAAAAATATTGGTAAAAACAAATTTGCCCAGCATGTGATTGCTTTCCATCACGATATTAATGTTTATTAATTATATTTAAATTCTATAGTTGTATGTAATATAATAAATTTCCGTGTGGTGACGGATTAAGAATACAGAGTGTCACCACCCTTATTCATCCCGTGAGTGTCGTAAGAGCCGACTAAGGTAACAAACTACCCAGAAATAACAGCACTGCAGAGAGAGGGAAAACTTGACACAAACCCTATACCAACCAGCGTGGTATAGTAGGCCAAAACCTCCTTTCTAAGGAGAGGCCTATGTCCAGCACTGGACTATTAATGGCTGTTGATGAATATAATAAAAATATATAATGAAAAAAGTAATATAAGTATTTTTGTATTTAGGTTTATGTAAATGTATCTTATCGAGAGTTTCATTTTACGCGTTTTCTTTTATATTATTAGTAAAGTAAAGAGATAATAGTACTACTGTGAGGTAATCGAATAACGCAAGCAACTGATGTACGTGATAACGTGACTATAGATTTAAGGCCGGTTTAAAACCAATTAAACCAATCCGTTTAAAACTGAAATAAACATTTTTTTTTTCGATTTAAAACGGTTAGCGTTGATGACTATGTTTTTCTTAATTATAACTACATTTTCTAAATTTAACCGAGGTAGGGATATGACGGAGTACTTATAAACTCTGTAAAGATTTTTTATATGTGTATACTTAGCGGTTTTAGTTCTAGTTGGTCCGTCCGACCGAAATTGATTTAAAAAATATCATCATATTCTATAGTTTTTCTTTAAGGGCTTCTACTCCTTAAGGCATGTTGCAAGGCTTTTTTTACGTTTATATTTTTATCATTTTATACTAATTAAAAAAATATTTTGAGTTTTCATCACTAATGCACATATTGCAATACATAATAGACAAGAAAAATAATAGAAATGTTAGATATAAGTTGTTGCAGCTGCATTGTTAACTTTAACTGATGTACTTATTTCTTTAATATATGATATGCATAGATCCTTATGAGCATATATGTTTTTTTTTTATATTACTAAATTTCTGTTTCAGGAGGATTTAAAGTTTGGGAATGTACATATGACCTTGTTGAATTTCTTGAAAATGAAACTGAAGTTAATTTTGACAGCAAAAATGTTATTGATTTGGGATGTGGAACTGGTATTCTAGGAATCTATGCATTTTTGAAAGGGTCACTTGTTACTTTTCAAGATTATGTAAGCATGCTATAAACTAATCATTTTATTATTATTTTGATTCTATCCAGAACAGCATTATAAACATAAAAACGATTTTCAGCTCAGGAGTAGAAAAGTATGTCTCTGTATTTTTAATACTTGCATTTCCTTTTCAGAATAAGGAAGTGTTAGAGTATGTCACAATACCAAATGTTTTACTAAACATAGAAGAGGAAAGTAATAGGGCAATTGAAATAAAAAAGTGTAAATTTTACTCTGGGGACTGGAATTCATTTAACAAAAAACTGCCAGATGATATTGCCTATGACTACATTCTTGCTTCAGAAACAATTTATAATCCTTGTAACTATGACAAACTTATTTCCTTATTCATTCAAAGATTGAAGAAAGATGGAGCTGTGTATGTTGCTGCTAAAACTTATTACTTTGGAATCGGAGGTGGAATAAGAGAATTTGAACTAGCAATAGAGAGTAATGGAAAGTTGAAAAGTTGTGTTTGTTGGAAAAGTACAGGTGGTATTCAAAGAGAAATTATAAAAATAACTCATAACAAACCTTAACCTTTATTTGTATCCCGTTTTGTACAATAACATTTACAGTTTAAATATAATTTTAATAATAAAATTATCTATCTTGTTATTAAGGAGACAATCGTTCATATACCCATCCATCCTCTCCTTCATGCAACAGTTTGCCATCGGGAACCTCATTAATTTTTGGTCTTCTGAACTTTATTCTATCATGGAGACGATCACGCTGACCTTGCCAAAATTCAACAGCTTTCGGACGAATAAGGTAGCCTCCCCTAAATATAATGTAAGTATGTTTTATATTAATATCACATAGTTGAAACAAAATTATTGTTTTTCAAAAAATCTTAAACTCATTTTAGACTGGAAACATTAAGTAATAGAAATAATTTTACCTTAGCATATATAAGTTAGAATTGCTACTTCAGTATAATTAAGATAAGAGTTAAATTTATATGCAAGCAAAAATAATTAATATTACCAATATGATGGCTTTGGTATTTCTTTTTGTGGAATCATGTATGTTTGTTCCAAAACCAATTCCTTTTCACACAAAACATCTCTGGACTCAATAGGAGTACTTTGACAACTTGTACATGCTGCAATCTGACTGGGGACAGGCCTTGAATGGAAGTAAGTTGTTGACTCCTCTTCAGATAACTTTTCCACACAGCCCTCAATTCTAACAGATCTGTTTAAACTTTCCCAATAAAATGTGGCTGCTACATTTGGATTCATGTCCTATAATGTGGTAATATATATTTATATAAATACAATGAATAAAACACTTTTTCATTAAAAAGTAATGAAAGAAAACCAGTACCCACCATTTCTTTAGATTTCCTACTTTCATAATTGGTGAAGAACTTAAAACCTTCTTTACCATATCCCTTGCACAGTACAAATCTAGCAGATGGTATACCTTCTCTGAAATAAAAATATTATTAAAATGTTTCAATATTCAATCAACTAGTAATGTCTTCATTGCTTTTAAACAAATATAATATGGGAACAACATCAAATTAAACAATGATCATTTAAATAATCATAAACATGATAAGAAAGATATGGCCTCAATGGTGTCTAAGAATCCAAAGTATTAAATAGTAAATGAACTTTATTTTATAATTATTACAGTCATGGATAGACTACTATTTCTTAAATTAAGCATGTCTCAGTACTTCGGTGTTGATTTGTCATAATAAACAGTTAATCATTGAATCTATCAACACTGACATTAAGACTGAACTTTTAAACTGACATTGAGAGTTTCTCAGTTTCTGCATATATATATATATCTTTGTAATACCACACAATGGTTTGGCAACATTAAAAATAAATTTGCATAATCTCTTCAAACCCAGTATTCCATAATGGTTTTATAAATATTGCTACTTGTAACCATCAGAATAAATTAAATTATTTTACATAGTATTCTATTTTGTTAGTGTGTATAGACAAAGACAAATTCAAGTGTTATGTGGACATGGGTTTTGTTATTTTCACCTTAGTTTATCGGTTCCCCTTTATAAAATTTTATAAAGGTATACCCTTTATAAAATTTTGTAGAAGTGACTCAACTTATCTATGCATTTAAACAAGTATATTTAATAAAAAAATATATTTAAAAAAGTATCACAGTGTTGATGCACCTACATCACGATCAATTGTAATAAACTGTAATTCTCATTCCTTCATTTGCACTCTTAGCTGTGAATTTTTTTCATCAAATTAGAGTAAGACTTAACTGGTCTTAAACCCTTTAAATAAAAAAGGAAATTTTCAAATCAGTTCATAAATGTTCTCAGGTAAAAAATATTCAAAAAAAAACCTTTTTTTAACTTCTTAACAATACATTATACAGACTACAGATATATTACATCCAACTAGTTTATAGCATAGATAAGAACTGTGATGAAATACTACTACTACTAACAAAGATAACAGATTACATACTTAGTGGCAGTTGCTAAGCACATTGCGTTGGGTTCTAGAATCTCTTTCTTAGAACAAGCTTCTTCAAACCATGCCTTGAATTGTCCAAAAGGTTCTTTTGAAACCAAATGCTTCTCCAAGAAGGTTTCGTCTTTGTCTTTGTATTTAATTCTCATCCCTGTAAAAATTTGGATTTTTGACATATTATCACAATATGTGTATTAACTTTAAATAGTATTTTAAATTCTTTTCAGTAAAATTATTTGAAATAAGTTTAAGATGACGCATTAACAAGCTGGCGAATATTTTAAGTAAATTTTAGTGCTGAAACTGAGACCTTGAAAGAATAAGGTAAAAAAAAAGGTTGAATAGTCTGCAACTCACCTCCAATATCAATACTCATTTTTCTTAATGTTACAGGTGCAAGTTTACAAAAATCTGAGAAATATATTAAATGCTTGCAGCCTGCATTCATTTACAGCAGCTATCATAAAAAGTTATATTAAGTCCTACAGAACAGCAGAATCTTTTCTGTAACGTCGTGCCGTCTTGGGAAATTAAATTTTTCTTACTATTTTATATTAAAACGTAGTTTAGTATAAAAAAGTAACAATGATTTACTGCTGAAACCAACACACTGTAACAACACTAAAAAAAATATTGCAATTTATAGACAATAACTTTGCCTCGTACTTCAGCCTTTGGGAGCCGTCAGCCGAGTTGAGTGTCTGAACTTCTGAATCTGAAGTCTGAGTGACACTCACTACTACTGTCAGATGTCACTGTCAGCTAGCTGTTACCATAGAGATTTTAACAAGAGCCCCAATCTTGCAATAAAGTCAACGAGAGTGATGGATGATAGACAGTTCCCTCTATCTCTTTCTAGCCCATGCTGGTATACTGAGATGTTTTTTTAATTTTGCTGAACTGTAAGCTCTTTTTAATGAAAAGCTGTAAATTCAAAATGAAAAATGAAGCATTGTTTTAAATGCAAAGAGGTTTACTCTCCTCTGAACAAACGTAGTTTTCCCACGTTGTAACCGCTGAACCTGTCAGGCGGTCTACTCACCCAGCGGAGATGTGCACGAGATTAATTTGGGTTACCTCAGGGTGCCTTGTCGACAACAGAGGGGTACAGATGTGTGTGCGTGTGGGCAACCTAAGGGACTCTTCAGAGAAACACAAGTTACACCTCAGTCATACATACATGTATATTTCTTTTGATTTTTAACAAAGTAAAAAACCACCAGCGGCGCGCGTCAAGGCCGAGCAGATGTTGCTAGGAGCCTCTACGTCTGCAATCCTGCAGGTTGTCTCCACACCAGCCCGAGTCGGCTAGTACCTACGTCGTTTTCCTCACAAATTTAAGGTGACGGCCAATGGCGGTCCCTACATGTAGGTTCTGATTAGGTATTTATATTAATGAAATCAACAAGAATACGTGACCATGGAATGAGGCTGACCGCTTGCCAGTGTATCGGATGGCACTTAGGAGCTGAATTACAGAAGGCCACAAACAAAAGAGCAAGCCGTCTCAGAAGTATCTCTTGACCCGAAATCGGGAGCCCTACGAATGAATTAACACTTATAATCGTTCAGATTCCAGAAACAAATGACTACAAAAAAAAGATTAACTTACCACAGAAGTGGGTACTTAGGACACAGAATTTACTGAAAATGGATAAACAGACAGTCAAAATGCTACTTCAGATCAGAAGACTAGAATTACCAGAGTGTCCCTTGCGGCTGGAAGCCGGAATTATATATGCTCGGTTTGTAAAACTTCTAGAAAGAATCCCTTGTCTGTATATTCATGAATGGGAAATCTATCGAATTCACATTATCATTGAGGTTAACTCGACTCAATTGAATGGTACCCGCTTCCTACCATATCAGGACACATTTAACACCAATACAATTTGACAGGATAAATTATTACTACGACATACCGAAAAAAACACGCCATCTAGTGGTCCGATGGCGAACGAAGAGACATCAATACTATAGTTACAATCTACTTCGGATAAGCCAACCATAACCTGCATCGAAATAAGTGCAAACTGGGGCGACAGGTGTCACTATTGACAACTCCGTACGCAATACCAATATGTTGGATAAATAACTGTTACAACGTTAGTTTAATTCCAACCTCAATATTTTTCATTCATATATAAAATGCTCCTGTTGTTTACATTATGTTTATTAGTTGAGGTTATTCAAGTTGTTTGTTGTTTAAGCTGCTGTCGGTCAGAATTCCTACTAACAATTATTACTTTGCTGCTTGTGCATTTAAACATTTACACGGCTTTTAAATGTTTATCTCAAGTTTTTAAGCTATGTGTTTTGAATACCTTGTGACCTTGTGTATGAATTATTTCGAAATTTTAATCTCCCGCCTGTTCGGCGATCAAAACTTCACGATAGCCAATCGCAGCTTAGCTAAACAAAAACAAAGGGAACTATCGGGAATCCATCTCTCTCATTGCCTTTATCGCGTCCACTCACAGGCAGCTGGAACCACCCCTGTTCACTCTATACTTATTTCTCAATATAATAATAATTGTTATGCTGAATTTTTTGAGCGCCGATCTAACACACATTTAGTGAATAAAATATGAAAATAATGGAATTACAAAATGTGTTTTCATGTTTTATCTTTCCGAGTGAAAATAATTTGCCTATTGCTGTTTGATGTCTATTTTTTTATTTCTTACGACTTCTTTACTTGCACTTCGTTCTAGCAGCATAAGAGTCGCTATAAATCAAATTGTCATCAGAAGTCTTAAGACTCCGCAATAAAATTAATAATATTTTAAAAACAGAGGCAGCTTCTAAGTGAATGTAATTTGGGGTTATTACCGTTCTGGACGATCAGAACTGTACTTTACAGTGTCCGAGAGGGTCACTATTTATTTAATGAATTTACGGAGTGGGCTTTCTGTACCAGTAATATTGTGTATTCTGTAACAATTGTTAAATCGACGATAACGTTTAAACTACAAACGGAACCGTCTACAGTACAGATTCGACTAATCCAGTGATAGTTGAAAACCTGTCGATCCGTCGACTGTCGAATCAGATGTCGACTGTCGATTCTCGACTCGACGAGTCTTTCATTCAACGCTAAACTCGAACTGTCAGCCCGTCCTTATTAGCAAATAGATGTGTTGGAGTTTACTTCGGAATTAAAAATTTGCTTTAAAAAATAATTAAGTTCATTTACTTTCATTAACAATGGAATCGGAAGTTTTAAAGGAAAAAATTCATACAGAGCCAATGTTAAATGACCCACGATACATAACCTTATTGAGTGGAATAGTCCTAGTTTTTACTCTTAGTAAGTAATTTCTAAACAATACGATAAACAAATACTATTATTACAAATAATTAGCATCGATTGATTTTTTCTTAATGCTATTAACTTGTGTTAGCCCACTTTATAGTTTTTTTTTTTGTATTTTTTATTTTTCCTTAAAACATATGTCACGTAGATAAAAACAAAAAAAAAAACATACAAAGCGTGATTTCTTATTCCATACCAGTTGGTATTTTTCTCATATTTAATTTTAATAAACATTGTTTCAGTATTTTGGTGGTGCTTTACTAGAAGACGTCATCTTCGTAGATCAGTATTGTTGATGGGTCTCTCTGACTCGGGTAAAACATTGTTGTTCGTGAGACTTGTGTACTCTCAGTATAGACAAACATTTACATCTATGAAGGAAAATGTAGAAGAGTATCTAACATCAAGTGTAAGTTTTTGTAAATATTATTAAACTGGTACCCTCTGCTTAAATGAAACATCAGGGGAATTAAAAAATGTCACACATCTGTTGTAAAACCTTTAGTCTCTAAAAGAAAACATGTTGGCTTAAACTCTCTTCCTTGTCTTTTGATTTGTTTACTTTTATGAATTAAAAAAACAAAAAATTATCTTATTTGCTAAGTTTGAGAAAAATAGCTCTAGAGTTAGTTTTTTAGCTACATTAAGTTAGTTAGTTTGATTTAACGGTTGTAGACTGTGTATATTGTTGATAGATTTATAGTGTGTGAGGTTACCAGACCCCGAATCCCCTGATTCTGGGAGGGCTCGAAGGATGGTAACACATTTGTGACTTTTGAGTCACAGTGTCCATAGTGGCAGTGGTCACTTACCATCAGCTGACCTGACTGCCTGTTTTTTCTCACATCACATTAACCTCTCATAAGCTGTGAAAAGCGAGAAACGCCCCTATACTGTAAAATGCTTTCACCACTGTTCAGTGTAGCGGCACATCGGTGAGTGCTGATCAACACAGCAGCACATTCCGGAGAGGTTAATAGTCCACTGCTGGACTATTAACCTCTCACGTGCAGATTTACTTGCATAAATAAATATCATTTCATTTCAGTGTTCTCATATACTATGAAAAAGTAACATCTAACTTTTACACTTCCTTATAGCTTTATTTGTATTAAAGTTATTTTTCCATTCTTCGGAAACTTTTTCTTGATAAAAGGTATTCTACCCTTTGGTGGCAATGTATATGCAAAATTTCATGATGATAAAATTAATGGTATGGTAGTGCATAAAACAGATATTAATTTTTTTATGTAAAGAAGACAATTCTCAATTTCAGAATTCATTGAAGATTGTAGATCTACCTGGACAAGAAAGATTGAGGAACAAGTTTTTTGATCAGTATAAGAGCAGTGCCAAGGCTATAGTTTTTGTCATCGACTCAGTAACCATTCAAAAAGAGATAAGAGATGTTGCAGAGTAAGTAAAAATCATATTCATTCTAAAAAAACATAAGATTGAGAATAAAACATTCAATAATTTACCATAATTTGATTATTGATTATTAATATTTTCTTTAAAAATATAAATCATTTTGTTTTTATTGTAATCACTTTTTATATTTGCATTAGATTCATGAATAATTTATTGTCATTTACAGGTATTTGTACACAGTTTTGTCAGACCCCACAGTACAGAGTAACAGTCCTGCTTTAATAATTCTGTGCAATAAGCAGGACCAACCCTTCGCTAAGGGGAGCCAGGTTATTAAGAACTTATTGGAGAAGGAAATGTAAGTTTAGTTTCACCTAACCAATGTGTTAGTATTAAGTTGTGAAGTCCTGTTCGATACCAATGGAAGAGTTCTGTAGATTTTCTATTATATTTTGCTAACTCTCTAATTGAGAATTGGTTTTACATTGGCCTACTACAGGATAAAATGTGAGTGTCTTATGGCAGTTCTAATCCTACTTTTATCATAAACTCAGAAGATGCTACCCAACAGATTCATGACTAGAACAAAGCTAACTTTTATAAATAACTTGAATAAAGACTTGGTTCAGTGTAAAGAATATCCTGGTGAACCAAGAATAGAAGTGAATAAATTCACATCTTTAAAGTCCTAAAAAAATCTTGCTAAAGATATGTGGAAATTTAGATGTTTCTAAAAAAAGTGCCACCTGCACATTATTATTGTTGTAACACGTAATAAAGTAGTGTACATAGAGGCAAAATGCTTTAAGTTGTGTGCTGCTTTAATGCTGTGCGACGTAGTGTCCAGCAGTCAGCTGGTCGCACAGACTATTAAAGGTACTATGCCCAATAATTTGTTTGTGATTCACAAATAGTTGTCCTGAGTGTCTTTATGTGCTTATTGTCTGTTATATCAATGTTTATATCATTTGTTGCCAATAATTTAATGGATATTGAAAAAAATTTTGAAAAAGCCATTATATTTCAGTAACCTCGTGAGGATCACAAAGTCCAGCCAGCTTCAGTCCGTTGACCCATCGCACAACAACACCTCAACTTACATTGGTAAAATGGGGAAAGACTTTGAATTTTCTCACCTTTCATTTCGAGTTGATATTGCCGAGAGCTCTGCTAACACTGGGGATGATGATAACCCAGCTGATATCAAAACCTTGCAAGACTGGATCTCTAAATTTTAATTATCAAAACTTTTACATTTTTATATATTTCAAATTTTATGATTAAGAATTGACACTTCAAGGTGACAACATGTTTTCTATGAATCAGATTTAATGAATTTTTAAGCTTGTGAATTTCAAATTTAGCTTGCAAATTGTATGTTGTGATCTTTTTGCTATAAGGCTAGAACATTATTGTTGAAGAACCATTAACATACTGATTACTTAATTTTTTTAATTGCTTCTTCAAATCTGATCATAAGTTATTTTTATTGTGTCAAATCATTATTTGACACAATAAAAATAACTTATGATCTTTATCTGTTCGTATTAATAGGCTTTTTTCGTAGAAATTGAAACACCCATAATTCCTTTTTTTTTTTTTAAGTAGGTTAAGTTAAAATTGAATTCCATTTTGCTTTATTCCATTTGCTTTGCTAATTGTGCACACAATATACAAAAAAAAATGTCAATGGTTGATTGTTGGTGTAAATAAAGTTGACTGATTTTTTAAATCCATTGTTTTAATTATTCTATCACTTCGATCACATACTACAGTATCATTCTCTGCGTCCATTCCGAGACTTACGTTATTATCACTTACCTGAGGTCTCCCGCTTTTTATAATTACATTCCCTGGGAGGGTTGATACCAGTCAGACTGGATTTTTTTGTGGCCATTGCTCGCCCTTTCACCTATAATGCCTAAAATTCTGTTGTTTTTGTCCAGCATTTTGCCTCTTTGTACTAGCTAGCTTTATCCTCCACTTAATGTTTTTTTTTTGTACAAGGGTCATAGAAAGAGTAATTAAAAGTATGAATGAATGATGATGACAATGAATTTATGAAAATGTTCGAACGTAAATTAAATAGTGAGTCAACTCATTTTTTTTATTGTTCATCTTATCTGTTTTATCTAGAGTAGTCTTTTCAGACGTTTCTGTAGTGAACGTAAGTATTGGAATACGAGTATTCATTATTATATAATAGTACCTACCAGTAAAACCAACTGCACCAAATAATTTAAATATATAGCAACTCTCGCTCTGACATGAAATACTCCTTGTGTTTCAGTCGCACAGCTCTTGCCTACTTTTTTATTGTTTTTATTTACTGAAACGAACATTTGCAAATCATACAAACATTCGGTCCGACCCGGGAATCGAGCTCAAGACTTCAGCACAGCAGTCGCATACGCTACCACTGCACCATCGAGCCAGTCGATATGAAGAATTGTCTAACCGGTTAGCATATATACAACTTTCCAACATCAAGCCGCGGCCTGCCAGGCACGATCACCTCGCATGATCGGAGGATCCTCCCTTTATGTTAGAAGGACATGACACCCGTTCCTCCACAGTGGTGACCCCGTCATGATCTGAAGCAGCCTTTAAGAAGCAAATCAGCAGCAGCACCATCGCCACCATCGTGTACACTCCCACAGCGATGAGCAGTAATCAAGTCTCAGCCAGCCATCGACCTCAGCCTCAACAGGGACGCACTGAACGAGACCTTAGCACAGCAGTCGCATACGCTACCACTCCACCATCGTGGCAGTCGAGATGAAAAATTTTCTCGCCGATTAGCATATATACAACTTCCTAGCATCAACCGTTGGGCCAAGGCCTGCCAGGCATGATCACCTCGCCTCCACAGTGGGTTCATCCCCACATGGAACAACCCTGTGTGATCCACAAATTGTAGTTTTGAGTATGGGTCTTCTTTGTGTCCGTTTCAAGTATGTTTGTAAAGTCCCCCGTGACACAGGATATATTCCTAATATGGGAGTTAAAAAAGATCTAAGTGGATGTGTGGATGTAGGATGTGTCTACCCGTGACGACGTGCAGTGCAATTGGTTTAACTCCTTTGTATGTACCCGTATTGTACCTTGTTTAAGTATCCGTTTACAATACCTACAATCGCCAAAATAAAAAAAAAACAGTGCATTTAACTTCTTTCCAAGGGTTAAATATTAGGAGCAAAGACCATTCTCTCTAAAAAGTTTGATAGGCTTTTAAGCTCTTTTAACACATCAAGCAATGCGGGGCGTAGTTAGATTGTTTTTTTAAATATAAATTGCTATCAAAAAACGTGTAGGCGCTGACTGAATCCTATTGTACAAATATCATTTGGTGTCAGTGGCGGATTATCCCTAAGGCAAAGTAAAAAGTAAAGGGGTAAAAAAAATATAGGTACATATGCTAAATATAATAAGAACTGTGTCAGTAAGTATTCACATACTTACACAATGTAATCATTTTTTTCATTCTATAGAGATGTTTAAGGTTGACATCTGGGGTTTATATTTCGTAATTGCCACTATTTATATTCTTTCCTTTTCTTATACCTAGGAAGATTGAGGCTAGTGCGTGTACACACAAATACAGTTGCTACAACTGCATCTGTAGTTGAAGTTACTCTATGAGTTATAGTAATAGACCAGGGTTGTATAGTCAATGACACTATATGGTGCACCGGTGCAGGCGGTAGCCCCGGCGTATCTCTATTACCCACAGATGGTGGTGGTGGTGGAACTTTCCCATGGGACTTTGAGGCGGAAATTTTCAACGTGAGGCCGCTCGTCGAGCCACGATGACGTTCTCGTGAGGCGGACGTCTTCTAAATGCTCCTTCTTTATCCAATAGGTGGTGCTCGCACTTTTAAAGGCCAGGTATTAGAAGGGGTCCGGAGCCGTCATCTACCTAAGTAGGACTCGGTCTCGATCGGTATGAAATATCGTGCGGTAATCCACAGGGGTCGCTGTTAGGGCCACTCCTGACGAACATCAGCTACGACTGGGTGTTTCGTGGTGCCTTCTTGGATGGTGTCACGTCACGTCACGCGATTGACACGCTCATGACCGCGTGCGGTAAGGCGCACCATAAGCATTCGGCTGCTGGATACCGAGGTGCCTCTGCACAAATTTGAGGGGGTGTTCCTCGCTGAACCTCGGAAGGTGTCACCTGAGGGATCCAGCTCCATAGTAGGAGGCACTCGCATCGACATCGAGCTCTCGATGGGATATCTGGTTCGAGGTCCTGGGTCTAGAGAAACTGAGAACCAGAAATCCCAAATCCGGCGGTTCTCGTGGAGGAGTGGAGGGAAAGACTTGGGCAACCAAGCGCCGGGCACGCCATTTTATGGAGGATTGGCTCTAGAAGAAACACGGGACCCTCTCATATCGGCTGACGCAAGATATCACCTGTGTCTGATCCGCAAAGAAGCAACGGCGGTGCAAGCAAGAAGCACGCTTTTGCGGTGGCAAAAGCGTGCGCTCAAAGGCTCTCCATACGCTGCTAGAATGCCCGGCGTTGGGTGGAGAAGAGGTTTAGCCTCGTGACGACCATTGGAGTGAGGATTCTCTCGCTCGGTATCATATTACGGAGCGAGAGTGCGTGGAACTCCGCCACCTCCTTCTGCGAGCCATCACCAAGAAAAAGGTCCAAGCATCTTAATAAATGTTGTTATCGGATCCCCTTTAATTCCGGCACAGTTTACACACCGTGCTGTTTAGTTGGGGGTGCCGGTGGCGCCGATGAAATGTTTGCTTGGGGCGCTCTAAATACTTAATCCGCTTCTGTTTGGTGTAAATGTGAACGTAAAACATGATCAGATATTTTTTATTGGGAACCATTGAACAGATCAATAATCCATATAACAAATACCAAAAGTCGTACGTTGGAGTGTAAACAATTCTGCTCTGCCTAATTCTTAGACATCAGTCAGTGTGGTATGATGGGCTTCTGTTCAAATTCAAACATTCAACAATACTGAGATTGTACCTGGACAAAAGAAGCTTTGAGGTGAAATTTAATAAGGAAACTGCTCCCTTAAAAGAAACCCCATACTTTACTTCTGTACACTGCTGACCTTCCGACACAAGGTGATACTATAAGAGCCACATACGCAGATGACATGCTATACTATCGGTCCGTGAAAACCCAGCAGTAGCATCAGCCAAACTACAAGCACATGTCTTCAAGGTAGAGGAGTAACTAGACAAATAGCGCATTTAGGCAAAGCAAGACAAATCTGTCCATGTAACATTCACGCTTACAAATCAACCTGCCCCCCTATAAAACTCTCCAACAAAGACATCCCCCAAGCTGAAGACGCTAAATACCTGGGTATGCACCTTGATCACTGGGTAACCTGGAGAAAACACATATGGGCCAAACGGAAACAGTTGGACATGGAAGTCAGATCTATGTACTGGCTGGTAGGTCGTAACTCAAGCCTGTCACATGAAAGCAAAATAACACTTTATAAGACCATATTAAAACCCATATGGACTTACGGGATCCGACTGTGGGGAATTACTAAACTTTTCGCTAAGAGCTTGGCTTATTGTGTCAACACAGATCGCCAAGTAGCAGACAGAACAAGAAAAAAAAATTGTAACACCAATGCAAGAAATTTACTGTTGTTTGTCGTGCTTAGGTCATTTACTGATTGGCACCAGGGACTTCCTTTCTAGGGTATACCTGGTTCCCCGGCTATTAGTACCCGAGACGGCGTGCGGTTTTAGTCGGTTCGAGTCCAACATGCCACCGATAGGTGGTATCCGAGGGGATTTCCGCACGAAAAAAAAAGGTCATTTACTGATTATATTTCATAATCTGGACCACAAATGTTTCTTGTTTTGCCTAAGCTCAAAAATAGACTACTTAGATGAAAAATACATAACGCTATGTGCATAGGAAGGCTGCGAAAGACCATTCATTTTATTTAGAAAATGTACACATAATACATGTTCGATGTATTATGTGTAATAATAATAACAAGTAACTTATTATGTTATTATTTTATTGATGCCAAAAATATTTTGACGTCAAAGATAACAAAATTTGAAACAATCACGTCGCAATTTTGTATTACCGATATTGTGTAGCTTGAAAATAAAATTTCATTTAATATACTTCTTGCAATAGGTACTTGGTAGCACATTTTGAATAATATTCATGTAGTAAAAATGTATATTTATTATTATTTATAATATTAATTCGATAATAGTTTTATTT